TACCCATGTAGGAGAAAAGAAGGAAAAACTGGTATCTGGAGGATGAAAAAATGGCACATTACATATATCTGGGCTGGGGTCTAATATTACCCCCTTATACCACTGGGACAAGTAGTGACATTTTAAATAATAAAATATTCCCTCCTTACCTCTACCCTTTTTCTCATTGTTGGGAGGACTTTAGTTTAATGGATTAGATACTCAGAATCTCAATTACCCACCACTCATGATGAATTTGAGGTGGTAGAATACACTGAACTGCTTCTTAGATAATCAGAGAAGTATTAAAACCAGGAGCACAATCTAGAGCTGACTTTGCTAGTGTACCCGGAGTTGATGATCCAGGTTAAGTACGCACATAATAAGTGATTGATGCCTCAGCAAGTCAAAATGATGTAGCACTTATTATGTAAGAAGTGGCTGAGGGACATGTGAGGCACAGGATCAAGTGAATTGCATAAATATTAGCTATTATTAAGCAATGGGGGTCAAAGGTAATAAATGCGAATTTTCATAGCCTTTCTTCATATTAACCTTTCACACCCTCTAGAAGAGTCTTCTTTCTCACCTTCCTTTCTGGCAGAGATAGACAAAAGAGCAATACTGAAAGGAGTACACTCCATACAGTGGAAAGAAGCAAGCAGAAAAAGCAAAAAAAAGTGTGAGGAGAAGAAAGAAAGATTTTGCTATACAAGAGTATGCAGATTAATATGCAGTTAGCCGTTTCTGGAGATGAGGATGAAAATGATGATGTGATAATGGCAGGCTGTATTTTATTGTATTACCATTTGATCGTATTACCATTTTGCAAGATGCAAGTAAAGCCTGAAACTCTTAAAAAATTATCTTTGGCTACTTAGATTATATTTTTCTGAAAAGGACTCTGTGCTGATGGATCATGTAGTTTCAAGATTTGCGTGTGTTAAAATTACTTCAGGACGCTAGTCATTTTTCAGTTGCCAGTAGAAATAAATCTCAAAGGAAGAGTTCTGCAGATTCTTGAGCCATCAATGGCCTGTAGGAAATATTCTACCTGAACAACTGGGTACATGTTGGGGAACGTTGGGTCTTGTTAAAACATTAAAAAAAAAATTAAGTCCAAAATCTATTTTGGATCCATAGGGTAAACTGTCTCATAGAGTGTTTCTAAAGAGAGGTTTTTAAAGTGTAGTTGGATGGTCACTCTTCTGAGTGGTAACATAAATCATTTAATGAGACATTTGATTTGATGGTTTGTAAAGTTTCCATGATTCTGTAGTTTATTATTACCAATTTAGGCACAGAGAGTTGGTTTATATTTATCTAATCCAGGTAATAGAGTATTTAATTTCCTGTCACTAAAACCAGATTCTAGAAATGTAATCTAAAGAGAAGGAGGGGAGAGGCAGCCCAATCTGGCAGAAATTGGACTGGAGAGGAAGGGGAAAAACAGACTGAAATCTCCCTTCTGGCTTCTTTTAAAACAATGGGTCATTTGTAAGGCAAAAAGAGCTTTTGAACACACTCAAGTGTCTTTAAAGAAGTATCTTCTCTTGTACCTGTTTCCTAAAGAAAATCTATTTTCATAACAATTTGGGAAGAGCTGAGAGAGTTTCATAATTGTTATGAAACTTGAGGATGGCTGAAATATTTTCATTGGTATTGAGCTCCTCGCTTGGGGATTATCTAGTGGGTTTAAGATTAAAGTGGTCACGGTGCTGAAGTTAAAATGCACCTTTCCCCCAAGAAATTATTAGAGCTTCCTGGGCCTTTCTCATTAGAGGCTGCTGTGCTGAGAGTAGAACATTTCTGAGGTGGTTGAGATTTGGGGTAGATTTCAAAAGGTACAATTTACAGACCAGAACATGTGCTAAATAGGCAAACCTGTCCTTTTTCAAACACCTTGACTGTCCACAATTATGATATAAAGGTGATCCAGTGGCTGAAATTACGGTGATTTTTCAAAAACTCCAGTGTTGAAATTTTGCCTTGACAGTACATCTATAACTACTAATAATGTTGTTTTGGGCTGACTCAGTTGCTTTGAAATTGCATGGCCCCATTATGAGTAAATGAGAGGCAACCAATTATCTATAAAATAACGACGTGCACAGAGGAGAGCTTGATGAATTATAAGTGAGCTCTGCTGACACAACAGGGTGTGGAAACCTGCCCTGCTCTGACTTTCCATCAGAATTAGGGGTGATGCTTGCATATTTTACAAACAACATACCCCCTCAATTCTAATGTGGAATGGGAGAGGGGAGGATAGGAAGATGGCAAAATCTTCCCCCACTAGTCACTAGGACACATGCCATTGCTTTATAATTAAGTAGAAAAACTGCTTGGGTGTATAGAGGCAGCAAATCCAAGTATCAATACCTGCATTAAGAATTACCATCCTCCAGGAAGAAGGCAATGTTAGATAAGAAATGCAGGTCTCCTGTCAACTAATGTGATTTAGAACATAGACTGAAAGAGCCATTACAAATCCCTTATCCCGGAACTCAGTCCAGTGTATAGGGAGCCAATGCATAAATTCACCTATGCAGGGAGCAGACGCTGAATTCCTGGAACCAAAGGATTGCCAACCTCATCAAGGATCTGTCAGGTGGTGAGTGAGTCAACTGCAGCTTCATTCAGCAACCCTTGGGCTGTTGAGCCCCTTGTGCATGGTGAAGGCAATATCTGTTTCTCACTGTTGCTCAAGAAACTGCAATTCAAAATCATTTCCTGCTAGGCAAGGATACTGAGAGCAGCTAAAACACCAAAATCTCCTGTGGGGTTGTATGGGAAGATAAAGAGAGTTCTTCCACACAGCTAATCTAATATTGGTGTTTTGATGGGTTTAAGAGGCTGAGGAGACAGTATATAGCTTCAGAATGTTTACCTTTGTTATCCTAATGGCACTCTTGCTGTGCTGAGGATTAATTCTTTATATGTAAGGAACATATAGAACATAATACTTATCAAGGAGTTGCTAGGTATGTTAGTTTGTTCTCACGGTGATAACAACATACCCAAGACTGGGTAATTTAAAAAGGAAAGAGGTTTAATGGACTCACAGTTGTGGAGGAAGGCAAAGGAGGAGCAAAGGCATGTCTTACAAGGCAGCAGGCAAGACAGCATATGCAGGGGAACTACCCTTTATAAAACCAACAGATCTCGTGAGATGTATTCACTATCATGAGAACAGCATGAGAAAGACCCTCCCCCATGATTCAATTACCTTCCATTGGGTCCCTCTCATATGGGGACTATGGGAGCTACAATTCAAGATGAGATTTGGGTGGGGACACAGCCAAATCATATACCTAGGTATATCTACCCCAAATATTAAGTCAAGAACAGTTTCTGGTGTTATAGTCCCTTTTCTTACATAGGGCATCTCTGGATATAGTTGTTCACATTTTTCTCTGCAACCTGTTGGTTTTAAAGATAGACTATTGGCAAGCAAAACATCAAGGGCAAGCACTGAGATTTGACCCATCAGTCCTTGGGAAGCCGACTCTTTGGTTTTCCCCCATGTACCTTGTCTTCTTGATATGCCAGGGCAGGGGGGAAGGAGTACTGTCTTAGGGTTGAAGCAGGTCTAGAGCTAGCTTGCTCTGGGCTAAGATCTGGCCTCTACTGCTGTTTCTCCAAAATTGGGAGTCATGTTCCTGTTTAAGATAATCTTAAGTGATATATATTGAATCTCTGACTGGGTTATTCTCTTTAGTCCTTATGAATATGCCAAATGGAGAGTTTCTGTTTGGTGCTAGAATTAAATGCCTCTCTAATGGTGGCTAGCCTCACTTTTTTACAGAGAAACTGAATCCCAGTCCTAGTAGCTAAGGCAAGCAACTATGCAGAGCTGGAAATCATCATCATTGTCTTTCTCTGTGTATGTTTATGCTTAACTTCTAATTACAAGTAGTACTTGTTTTTCATTGAGGCTGAGATATAAAGTTTAAAATAAATGTACTAAAATTTAAAAAACGAATCAAGTAAATAGTGCTCTAGGTGGTCCACAAAAAGATAAGAAAAATTATGACAAAATGGGAATGAATGCAATTTGGGAAACACTGGATGTGCCCAAGATCATGTTCATTTAGGTATGTTGTCAGATGGTAAAGGAAAGAAAGAGGGAGGGCAGCCTAGGCAGGAACCATCATGATCTGAAAAACTTGCAGGTAGAATGAAGTTGGTTGAGGACTCCAGGCCCATTCTGTTTTCTGCTACCTGGCTGTAGTGTGACCAGGGAGGCAGGTGCTGGACAGGGTTGTATGAACAAGACAGGTAAGAAAGTCCAGCAGGGGAGGAGGTGGGAGGTCCTCAAGGCAGATATAGGCCAATAGATAAGATGAAGAGACTAAACAGACTATTTGGAGGGTACAAGAAGAGGTGGGACAGGGAGAAGGAAGTGGCTAGAGAGGTGAGCTCTTTTTCAAGGAATGCCCTTTAGGGTGGGACAGCCTGGGTTCAAATCTGAGCTTTGTTACTTACCATTGGCCTTGAACTAGTACTTAACATCCCTAAGCCTTAGTTTTCTCATCACTTGCAAGACAGGAAAATAACAGAGTCTGCATCTTGTAAATTCTCAGCAAGTTTTGGCCACTGTTATCAATTCCAGGGCTGAGCCCTATCTTGTATCCCTCTGTGCACATTGAGAATTGTGTGGTTTTGTAGAGTGAGCACCATGAATGTCTTTAACTAACTCGCTGTTGAGGGAATAATCAATCAATCACCAAAGCTGGGAAAGGCCAAGTCTATCTGAACTTCAGATGAACAAATTTTTTTTAAAAAGTCTAGCTATGTCTAAATGTTTCATAATCACTAATAACAAATGTCAGTGTTTTCCTGAACCACTTGATAATGTATAAAAATTCAATATGTAGACACATTTTTTTGAAAAGGGAAGGGATGAGTGTCAGAGAAGCAGTGGACCAATCCAATGACTGACCGAATTTCTTTAAAAAAAGTAATTATAACAGGTTTGTTGACTAATGCATGGCAAGTCAATATACCAAGACACAGGGTTGCAGCAGAGAAGGAAGTTTAATCATAAGGCTGCTGAATAAGGAGACAGGAGGAAACCTCAAATCTGCCTGTCTGAGCAGCTTAGACCTAGGTATTTAAAAGGGTTTGGAGTGACCGAGGTGGGGGCTCACTGGTTGAAGAATGCAGGATGAAGTCACAGGATGGGGAGATGCAGAAACTGCATTTTCATGCTGATTCAGTTCCTCTTGGGGGTGGTCTTCAAACTGGTTGGCATTAGCCCTTGTGATGGCATTCAGGATCTGAAAAACATCTTAAGCAATTTTTAAACAAAAGCCTTCTAACATCAGAAATCTTCTGTGAAGGAACAATGAGGAGGCAAATGGTCAGCATCTGGTGCTCCATGACTTTTGGCTATAAAGGAGGAGGCCAAAGTGCAGCCTGATTAATACTTAATTACAACTGTATTTCTGTCCAGAACCCAGCATGTAATTGTTAACCCTGTGAGGATGGCTTTCTTTTCAATAGAATGTTTCCTTTGTCCTTAAAGGGAAGTATATTTAGTCCTATTATACTACAGGTAATGATGACACTCTCGGTAAAATCTTAGGACCCTAAGTTGTTTGCCACCTTGCAACCTATATTATCCATCCGAGTCTTAGTTAACCACATCTGACTGCTGGGAAGACTGAGGGTGATTTGTTTGGTCTGTACACAAAAACTCTTAAAGAGAAATACAAATGTTAATTCAAAAATCCACAGGCACTATGGCAATAGTTTGTGTAACAAGTTAGGGTAAATATCTTTCTGGTAAGAGGTACAAGGGAAGTCAATTTCCCTGGAAGACAGGAGATGTCAGGTCTCAAGGCAAGACAGAAGCAAAAAACTGACAAAGCAAAGCCTACAGAAAACTTGGATAATAAGTTTGAATCTTCTTAACATATCTAGAAAACGCATTCTAGGACAAAATCCTACAATTCAGCAAGCCTTAGGAAAAAGTCTAAAACTTTCTAGCCTCTACCTGAAAATACCCACTGCATAGGAAACCCAGGAGAAAAAATTCAGCCTAGGAGGCCAAGTCTGAGGTATTGTCACCCCACTGAAATTTGAACAGGACACTCTAAAATGACATCCTGGCCTTCATAAGAGGAATAGAAAGAGGTTTGTAGTTATGCCCATAGGCCTATGTTCTTAGATAAACCAGCTGGATCCTGAAAAAGTGAGAGATAGAAAGATGACAGTGGAAAAGGTTAACAATAAAATATGAAAGACAGCTTCTGCTATAGCACTTGCCATATCCCCCCAGGCAACCGAGTGCAGAGCTGAGGAAGCTATGACATGGGAGAATGAAATAAGCTTCTAGAATGCAAGGATCTGAGTGCAAGACGACTATTAGAACAACAATAAGGGGAAAGGTAGTCTGGGTCTTTAAGTAATTAGAACACTCTTTAAAAAGAGGGCTGGGGAGAGAAAGTCCAAGAAATGCACATATATTTAAAACTATCTAATAACGACTTCTGTTTCAAAGTGAAATCAAAATATGATGAATGTGTTTTCCAGCTAAAACTCGATCACTAAGTGGCTGATACAATTTTAGACAATTCAGTTGTTCACTAATTTTGTTTTTAATTTGTATCTGATCTATTTCTGCAACTTATAACATGAACATATTTAGTCACAGGCCAGATGAAGAATTGCCTAATTCTAATTTGGAATTCTCTTATTCTAAAAAGGAAAGGATTTAAAGGAAAGGATCTGTAACCGGGGTCCGTGGGAGTTTATTAACAGGTTTGCCAGGAAAAATACAAGATACCAGTTACATTTGAATATAAGATAAACAAGTAATTTTTTTTAGTTTAGATATATGCCAGATTTTGCATGGCAACCCTGTATTTATAAACAAATTTCAGAGAGATAGCTACATTTATATCTGTCTTGAATGCTTTGCTAATTGATTGATTGAGAGGGATTCCTGCTCTGTTGTCCAGGCTGGAGTGCAGTGGCCCCATCTCAGTTCAGTACAACTTCCACCTCATGGATTCAGGCAATTCTCCTGCCCTAGCTTCCTGAGTAGCTTGGATTACAGCCGTGAGCTGCTGCTCCTGAACATCTTTAAAGATTTTTGTTTACAGACCAAAGGCATCACCTTCAGTCATTCCAGCAGTCAGCTATGGAAACTGATACTATGAGAGATAATATAGTGTGTGAGATAGATCTAGCCCCTTAGACACTGTATAAAAATTTGAAGTAGAAGCATTTTGACAAGGAAATTTGCTATAGTTATCTTTCTACCAGAGTCTTAAACCTATGAGCTCTTAACAGTTAGCCATCATTAATGCAAAGATTAATTCCATCAATCCTTGACTTTTCCCTGTGGCCTGAGCTTCCTAGCAGCTGAACGTAAAGGAAAACATGAAGGGCAATTTACCAAATAGCAACTGAAGAGAGGAGTCCTCCCACTGAAAGCAAAAGACTTTGCCCGGGGGTCCGGGGAGTGGTAAGGAGGCAGAGAAACATGGTTTACAGGGCCTTGCAGACTCGAGCCTGAGGGCCAGGTCACACCCTTAAGTGGGGAGGTGGATCTTTTAAACAAGAAGTTTTGCATGACAAAATGTCAGCTTTGTGAACTTTGGGTTCACAAGAGCACCACTACAGGAGAGACTGGAGAAAGGTGGTGGTGGGCTGGGGGTGCTGGCTTGGAAGGGAATGAAGAGGAGGCAGGAGAGTTGGAAGAGACTGGGAAACTGGGAATATAGTACTCAAGGGCCACGGTTTTCTCCCCTCCAGGTTTTCGTCCTTTGCAGCCACCACCCCAGGATGTTTGTGAAGGTGTTTTTGTGCATCCCCATTCTGAAAGTGCAGCCCCTTTCCTGAGGGCCCTGGGAGGGTCTGGGTGATGAGGAAATGCGGTCTTTACCTGCATCACTGAAAGTAGACCCGCAGAGCGGCAGCTTCTGCTGCCATTTCCTCCTCCGATCTCCAAGAGGCCCGGGAGTCCTCCTCTTCCTTGTCGTGTTTCTGGAGCTTTGGAGAAAAAAATGGAAGAGGGTCTTTCATGGGCCCTTGGGAATCTCCTTGAACAAATATCAGGGGGTTGGGAGAGACTGAACAAAATTTGCAAATTAGAGGCCAGTATGTGTATCTTTTAATTACTTCAGTTGATGAAACTTGCAACTGTAGAGGCTTTACACGTGAATCCACAGTAAAAATGATCATTTGCTGCATTGTAATCATCTACTGAGGCTGACAGGGATGATGATCTGATACAGATCTGTGTCCTTGCCCCCATCCCATGTCAAATTAGAAGCCCCAGTGTTGGAGGTGGGCCTGGGGGCAAGTGATTGGACCATCTAGGCAGAATTCTCCACTGGGGCTGTTCTCATGATAGTGTGTGAGTTACTGGGGGATCTTATTGTTTAAAAGTGTGTAGCACCTCCCTCTACTCTCGCTTCCTCCTGCTCCAGCCATGTAAGATGTGCCTGCTTTCCCTTCTGCCATGACTGAAAGTTTCCTGAGGCCTCCTCAGCAATGCTTTCTGTACAGCCTGAGAAACCAATTAAACTACTTTTCCTTATAAATAACCCGGCCTCAAGTAGTTTCTTATAGCAGCGCAAGAATGGACTAATCCTGGTGGTCACAGATTGGGATGAAGTGGGGGAATGGGGTGCATATTGCCATCCCCATAATCTCTACCGCTGTTCTAATTTTCTTATGTTTACTGGCATCATTCATTTATTTTACTTCCTGGATTTTGAAGGCATGGAGTTTGCCATCAACACATAACCTCACCTTCAAGGTGGCCTGTAGTTTACCTCCTACTCTTTTTGGTTTAGACTTTCTTACATGAGCTCTAAGCAGTTTTGTGCCGCAAACCCAATTTATGATAATACAAGGGCCATGAGAACTCAGTAAGTAATAAGACTTTCCATTAAGAGAGGCTTCAAGTAGGGAAACAGTAAAAGAGATTAAATGAGAAAACAACTTACAAAAAATTAACAATTGGTCTTAAAATTAACACTTGAATCATTTTAAATTCCTCCTCAGATTACAGGTATATTTATCTTAAAAAATTGTGTGTATGTCTCAGATTTACATATAGAGTGAATAAAATTTCAATTCTATCAGAGAGGATGTTCTCAGAACTCTCTTCCTTAGAAGAGCTCAATTTTCTCCCTTAATCTCCTAGTACAATTCAATTTCATTAACTAAATTTATTGTTCCTGTATGTGGCTCTATACACTGTAAAATGCTGCAGGTTATTCTTCATGGGAATGCGCAGTGTAGTATTTTGTGTTAAAAGTCATTTGAGATTGAGACAAACAATTTAATAGCACCAATGATAGCTAGCATTACTGATATGAAAGGCGTGCATTATCTTTCTTAATCCTTACAATGACTCATGGAGCTGATGCTATTCAACCCCAAGTTATTGTGGAGGAAACTGAGTTCTGAGGAAGTTCATACCCTGGTCCAAAGATCACCCAGCTACATAGTGGTAGGTGCCAGAATTATCCCCAACACCTTTGGCCTTTTTATTTATCCTGAAGGATCTACAGTGTCCCTAAAGACAATCCCACAGATACTGTTCTGCTCCATTTTGTGAAGGGTTGACAACAGATTAAAATATAGACTTTGTAAAAGTTGATCCTTTAAAAATAATCTTGCCAACTCAGCAAAAAGTCTATCAACTAAAATAATGATGTTTGCCATCTCAGGCCCCAAACTCTAAATCTAACCTAGAGGCCCCTACTCTGGCAGCTCGTAGCAGATGGAGACATTTCCCCATTTATTTCAGCTCAATGTTGGTACAGAAGGCAAAACAGTGAGGGAACCATAGTCTTGCACTCCAGCTGAGCTATATTTCCATTCTGGGTAAGTCTGAGCCTAAATGAGGCTCATTAGCATATAACCGGGCCACAGATACATTTATGAGGGTCATGGATCTTCCCTTCTGAATTTGGCTGCCAGCACACTGGTTTTACATTTTGCCATGTAGATTTAATTCTCCTTAGGAAGAAAACCACATTAAGAAGTCATTTTCTTCCCTGCAGAGGCAAACATGCTGCAGTTGCTACAGGCAAGTCAAATGGGATTGCTATTCTTCTACTCAAGAACTAATTTTCATTTTGATACTACCTTGAGGTCTGTTATAAATCCATCTTGTAACAATTCGATAGGATGACAAAGAGACACGCAAAGCCGAGGAAATATGGCCTTCCCACTTCTGCTACTGCCATTGGAAGACACAGAAATCAAGCATTAACTGGTTTCATCAACAGAGATCATACCAGATGAATCCAAATAATTTAGAGCCTGTGAATGTTAATGCCTTCCTGATTATTAGGCGACCGTCTGTTATTGTCATATGCCTTGCAGATGGTAACATTGTGGCAACCCTTAGAACTTGTTTATGGGAAGTAGGAAATAATAAATAAAACAAAAACTAATCATCTTTGCAAAAACTCTGTTGTACGTAGCTTTTAAAAGTTATTAGATTTCTCTCTTAAAAGCCCCAGATGGAAGCATGTAGTTCTGTTTAGAATGGTGGTGCTCAACCCTGGTTGCCCACTGTAATCATCTAGGAAGCTTTAAAAAATAAAACCCACCCCAGGGCTTCTGATTTAATTGGTCTGGGGTAGGCTGAGTTTGGGAATTTAAAACCAAAGTTCTCAGCCAGTTCTAAGGTGCACTTATTGTGGAGAATCACTGCTTGTGGGAGAAGTGTGTAGACAGAGCCCACACGCATATTGAAATAATACATTTGCCTTCAAGCACATTGCTTGTGATCCTATCAACAGTATAACTGCTGTCCTTTGCAAACCTTGCTCTGGAACTGCTTTTCTTCTGTTTATGCTCTGACCACAGGATGTCTGGGCTACAAGTCCTGTCTTCGCAACACTAAGATGCAGATGCAGTTCAGGAGCGTTTGAATGGATTTTTAATCTCTACAGAAATAGGGAGTCTGGGAAAGGCCCTGATGGGCAAGACTTGTGTCCTAGAAGATCCACCCAGGTAACCTGAAGATTAGAAATGCTACAGGTTGGAGTAAAGTTCCATTTCCCTAAAGCAATCTAAGAACCTGGTGGCTGCAACTTCTTGCCTGGCTAACAGAAAGAAAGCTCTAATGATCTTATATAGTAGTTTATCCAAAAGACACTATTTGCCTGGGTGAACTTTAATGGAGCAGTTTCACTTCTGATAAGCCTTCCAGATTACTTTGGCTGTCCACAGGGGAGGGCGGTGACTACTTGTTAACACAGCAGACATTTGCTCTGTCCCTGCAATGCCGGGGGCCAGACCTAGCACTGGAACACTGAACCAGCCTCCTTTATTGTTCTCCTGGGGCACACACGTAGGGAGGGTAGACACCAAATAGCCGATTCTTAGCGAGATGTGATTACCAAATGGGAAGGGTGCTGGACAGAGCTGCCCTCACTGCAAAGACTTTTGAGTATCACTGGTTTCACAAAGAAACTTATGATAAAGAGTGATAGAGGGAGAGAGGTTATCTATGGATCATCCAAAAATGACTCTCCAAGAAGGCGAGAGTTAGGTCTGAGCTTGAATAATGAGAACAAGTTCCTTTAACCTCTTTGAGAGTCACTTTTCCCCTTTGTAAAATGGGATTAGGAAAAAGAGTTGTGAGCGGTGGCATGCCTGACACATAGTAAGTGGTATTGAATATTCCCTGCTGCTGCTACTACTACTGTCATTAGCATTATTTTTAGGCTAAATGACACTGACCTAATGACAACGAGCACTAACGCTTTACAGAGGCTGTTTCTGGGAGTAAAGGTATTTTGCATCTCCATGGTTCCCAGTGATCTGTATCTTTTGGACCTAACTACTTTGTAGAAGGATTAAAAGTTATGATTAGAATTCAGATCCAAAACAACTAATTGAGATACCCAAATCTTGGGAGGAAGTGTAGCTGCTTAGAGTTGTCATAAGGAGTGAAGGTATTAATCAAGGTTTCTCACAGGAAAAGCTAAGGTCCTATGAGAAAGGTATGTGGTGGAAGTCAAAGGCCGTCAATACCCCAGGAGTATGTTTGCCAGATATGGCAAATAAAAATACAGGACACTCAGTGACTTGTTTTAGGATAAGGCTGTCTCATACAGTATTGAGATATCCTTATACTAAACAATTATTTGTTGTTTACCTGAAATACCAATTTAACTGGGCTTCTTGTATTTTATTTGAAAACTCACCCTAGCAGACCCCATAGAAAGGTATCACAGGAAGATCTTGGCTTGCATTTGGTTAACTAGGTTGTTCCCAAAGTTGCCCAGCTGTGAATCCCGGAAAAAACAGAGGAGACCATGCGCAGGAAGATAAAATTCAAGGCCATTATGTACTCCAAGGCTTACTATTATTGCCTGGAATGCAGTGTAAATCAACCTGCACTATTTTAATTCCTTAGTTCACCTGTACTAAGGTACATATTCTTTCATATTTCAACATCTTTGAAATCAAAACATGTCCTATACCAACAGTGTGTCATAATTTAATTGGCAGTGTTTTCCTTTCTTAGCAGTACATAAAATAACATTTCCAACTGGCTGTGTCTGGGATTCAGTGCACTATAGTTCTCCATTTCCCCTTTCAGCAGGTAAGTCACGTAAGTTAAATGTGACTCTGCTTGCTCTGCAAATGCTCAACACCAAGGCTGATGTAATACATCCTGGTTTCCTTCTGATACAACAACAACAGTCAAAACTGTTTTCACAGATGCTTTGTTCTTTAGAGGAAAGTGCACGCCCAAGTGACAAAGTCTGCGAAAACTTGAACCAAAGTGTTCTTCACCTTCAACAGATTGAAGTCTGTGCTGGCTTCTCCAAGCAAATTCTATTTGTGCATAGCTTTGAAAAGAGATTTTTTTAAGCTGCATCTGCAGTCATCCCACTTTATCTGTTTGAAATGGTTTTTGGGGAAGGTAGTGTTAACAGGATTTCTGATGGAAGAACTGATACGTGTCGATACTGACATTGTGTTCCCTCCTGTGCACTGAGTGTTATCACAAG